GGGGTAAGCGGATTATGGCGGCATAATTTTTTGGCATAATCAGGTCCTTTTTGACAAGGAGCATAATTTGGCATCCGAAAAACAAGGGGCATGTGCCCAATGAGGCTGTTATATACACCTGCTATTGAAGGCATAATTGAAGGCATAATCAGAGTCTTGGCATAATCAGGTCCTTTTAAGAAGCCTATATTAAAATGGCATCCGAAAAACAAGGCCAGATGCCTAATGAGGCTGTTATTATTATTATACATGACACCTGCTATTGAAGGACCATACATAGCGCTTCTAGTGTCGATTTGGAATTATATTTTAGCAGCCAATAGGACATCTCCCAAAAGGTCAGCGTTTGCTTGTGAATTTGGTATTCCTCTTGCATTATTATTGTGTTGTGACTTCCACAAAGCTCCCAGTCCACATCATGACAATGGTCTGAGTCCTTTTTTCATGACGATTATCTGTTCTCGGATGTTGAGCCATAAATAAATGTAGAGAGGAAAAGGACATATGGATACGAGTTAAGAGTAACTCTCCATCACTGTAACTGGATACTATATACAGTCAGAAAGTGTCAGGACGTCGAATGTCTCAGTACTCTGTCAGTTTTGTGCCTAGTTATTGCAAGGAAACACGGGCTATTTATGGGTTGTATGTCCAGAGGTGCCTCTGGCTGACGATTAGCCGAGGCGGCAGAGATTGCCTCACTGTGTAGTGGGAGCAAATGATAATGTGGCTCAATCTCGACATCGGGCAGTGCCTCCTGCAGTACAACGGCCTAGGCTTTCCCCAAATCGGCCAGCCGAAAAATTCGCCGAAAACGAGACTTTGCGAAAACTCGCTGTTCGCCGATTATGGACGGTTGCTTTGAGAATCGCCGAAAATCTACCACTTAATGTTGTTGCAAAGCCAGTGCTTTACGTGTTTACGAACGAATCATGTTGCTGTAAGCATGACCGCTCGAGCTCTCCACCTCAGTACTTGTAGTACTAGTGTGTTGAGGTCATGTGACTCGTGCCCTTTGACCTCCTCTCAAACAAACATTAGCCATTAGGAAGATCCTTACTGGTAAAATACTACACTACAACGTACAGTTTTGGCCAGGTCCACCTAGCAGAGCTGTATTTCCAATATCTCACCAATTTTGAAGCCAATATGCCAACAATTCTTTTAGCCGATTTTCCGATATACTGTTACTGTATTCCAATTTCGCAGTCGATTTTCGAACAATCAGCTGATTTTGCAGCCAAATCTGATGTATTTTTGAGCTAAGCGAAAAGCCGAATAGGCGAAAAAACCGGGCCGATTTGGGGAAAGCCTACAACAGCCAGACGGTCCTGAAGCTCGCCATGGCGAAACGCCGGATAACCGCCGGTCGGGCACGCGAGGGCGTGGTGGGTAGTCATGAACTTCCCGCAGACACAATGGTCACATACACTTTCCAGTGGCAGACCAAAGCGTATGCATAGCGCCTCTGGGTCATCCCTTGAATAAAGGTAATAATAGCGCGTCTCCGAAGTCTGACTTCTTCAGCACGGTGCCGCGTTTTTCCAGGACGGTTGTACTGTCAACCACGTTGACACGCCCCTTTCGTCTTCTCCATCAACTCGAAGGCGTCGCTGGACCAGTGAAAGGTCCACAGCAAGCTTCGTCTGCTGCTGCCGGCACCCACTGACTCTTTCCCTGGTACTTTTGTCGGGTGATGCCTCGTGCCTCGCCAACAGGACAGGATAAGCCACGCACTCCGCGATACTTAAGACACTTTGCGAGTTTTGGTCCGGACTGATGGCTGGGGCGTCTTGGTCGCTCTCGTTTGGGTGCGTGGCGATCAAGTTCACTATTGGCGCCGTGATAGCAAGTGACGCCTGATGCTCTGCCTCTGCAGACTTTGCTACCACAGGGATGGCAAAATGCCAAGGCCCTGAAACGCGTTGGGAGGGACAGAAGCGGTCTCTGCAAGCTGTCAGCTGCTAGTCCCTTAATTAACCAAGTGAGCAGGAAGAAAGTGATGATCCAATATTTCATCCAAAGGTGCCAGGGTGATGGGGTCTAACACTGATGATGATGCTCTCAAGTGGTAGGACCATTTGGACGATAAGCCCTTTGTGAGCACCGCATAGGCGGCCTGGAGTTGCATTTCCGCCAATGCAGCGAGGGCCACGCGTACTGGTATGAAGCAGTGAAAAGTTGAAAACAGGCAATAGAGGAAGGATCGAAAACCACCCTATTTCTATACAATGTATGCTGAAGAAGTTGTGTACTAGTACCGGTATACTGAACTGTATGTTCATAATCACTTAGTGGGCTACCCGTTTATTATGATTTCACATCTTCAGTTACACGTATTTCACAATTCTCTAAACGTTGGCAGTTGAATGAAAAGGGAAGGGGGTCTCCTGGAAAAGAAGAGACGAGAGAGTCAATTACACCTACTAAAAATACAGTCCTGCTCAATGAAATCCAGTCGCGTCACTCAAGTTAGCGCCTTGCACCATTTCGCAGGCCGACGTTTGCAGGTCCAGGGCTGCGCAACGCCCGGCGCGCACTTAAGTGACGCGACTGGATTTCATTGAGCAGCACTGTATTATAAGTAAGTTATAACATTAGTTTCTTGCATTGTATTCTGAAAAACAACTACTAGTAACCTAAAAAAAAGGTCAATTGCTACATGTATCAGGAAGGGGAAAGACTACAAAGACATGCACCAGATGGTATCAAAACAAGTTAAACAACCAGGTCCAATCACCAGTGGGAAAAAAGCAGTAAGGTCTCTCCTAACCATTCTCAAGTTCAAGCACAGTCGAAATATGTGTGCTTCTACTTTACTTACACACGGGTGAAACAACTTACACTAGTGACAGCAAAGTATTAGATAAACTCAACCAACAACATAGTGACAGCAAGTACAAGTTGTACCCAGCTACGCGAATGCCATGGCGACGTACGTGCTCGCATTAAGCTTTGAGTCGCCTCAGCAAGGCGACGTCACATCGCTGACTTCTTCTGTGGAATGGAATTTTGCGAGTTCGCATTGCACCGTGGCAGCCAGGTGCAGATCGTGTTGCATCACAAATATGCTTCTGTGAATCCCGTTTTACACTGTCTTGGGCTGCTAAACTCTTTGCCATGCCATTCTCAATGACGCCATCATCGAGCTCTTGGTCACAGCAAGAATACACAGTTAACTAGACGTTCGCTTTCTTGATAATCTATTTATGTATTTCGACTCGATTGAACCGTGAGCGTGACACATACTTGCATCACTTGAGCAGCCTACCGCCATCTCTAAAACTACATTACATCAGGAAAGCGCTTCTACGGATTTTGGCACGGAAAATCGTACTCCGGAACCTCTCTATTACCACATGCAGTATGTGGTCACATGATCGCAGGCCAGTGAATAATACAGCATGGCTGCATCAATAGTTTGTGTATATGTCAGTTATAGTAGTCCGCAATGCTGCTTTTCTAATTCTCATTATGATTAGCATGCAATGTACTACCCGAAGTACTGAATTTACTTCTTCTGTACTCTATATTCTAATGTATCTTCTACCTCTTCTCCCTTACGAACATACTTTCTCATTTTCCATACTTATATAGGAGACTCCCTTCGATAGGCATCTATTTGCCTCTGGAGGATCCGTGAAATAAAAATCAATCAAAATCAAGAGCGTGCGCAACTCCGCATTTGCTTGGCCCTTGCCACAATGGCCTACAAGTAGGTCTAAGCCAAAAATGTCCTGTCGTCAAGGAAACATTATTCCAGCCTCAACAAGTCGTGGAAATCTGCCAGGGAGTGGGGGTCTGCGTTGCTGCGTTTTTCTGCTAGGCCAGTGCTCATGGTGCTTTTGAACAGCAAGTGACGTGAACATGGGAAAGGCCACATTTGGAGGAAGGGCTACAACTACGCAGCACACATTCACGTTGCATCAAAGTACATGTACCGTAAACTGTCCCCACAGGATCCCGCGATTCCGCGGACACGCAATTTTCCGCGGTACTGGCTTTTAAAAGCGCTTTCATCCGCGTCCCGAGAGACTTTGCATAAAACCCACCTTATCCAAGGGAATTTACAAGAAAATAGTACACGATGCTGAAAATGTCCTACAAAGTCGTACCGCGTACCGGTCCATGAGTTTGTACGACAAAGTTATACTTTCCGCGTTATTGACTTTCATCCGCGTTTTCGAGAGATTTTGCATAAAACCCACGTTATCCATATTAAAATATAAGAAAATAGTACAATGATGTTGAACATGTACTACAAAGTCGTAACGGTCCATGAGTTTGTACGACAAAATTGTATACTTGCATGAAACTGCATGCCAAAGTTGTACAAATGACAGAATACTGATAACTCATACGATCGTGCATAAACCCACATATTGGCCGCATAATCCCGCATATTTGCCGCATATAAATGGCCTGTTTTCGCCCGCATAATTTTAGGAGTTTGTCCGCGTTATTCTGTGGGGACAGGTAAAGCAAGAGCGCCCCACCATCTCGTCCTTTCGGGGTCGCATTGAGGTGGTGTCCTGTCTATAGGTCATACAACACGAACCTTGTACACACAGTGCCACACACATTGCATGCTGTGCATTCAATAAGTACTCCATTTACCTTCGAGCGGACACGAGCTCCACACAAAACCGGCTAAGTGTGACCTTAGTACACTAAGGTTCTCAGAACGTACGAACTTCATTGCACTCTGCCATACGATTTTCCTTTCCCCGGCTGTAAAAGCAAGGCTCTCGAGAGACGGGGCGCTCTCGCGGTACTTCAAGGTATATGGGGTCAGTGTCGGGAAAGCCGGGGGAGAGTTGAACGTTGGGTCAACTCTCCCACTGCTGCTCATTGCTGGGCGGTGATTTGATTCAACGAGAGAGCATGGGTTTGTACAGGCAGATACCAGCGGGACTGCAGCCACCGGGAGAGGTACAGCTGTCTGCAGTCCCGCGTCTGTACCGGTGCGTTGCCAACCAACCCTAATGCTCACCTCAGAGTAGTTTAGACGGCAGTTGATCTTACAATGCAATGGAGTGGTGCATTGCTAGATCACTAACTTACAACTAGCGCGGTTGCAAGGGTAGGGAGGGTTCTTGTGTGCACAATTAATATATACATGTACATCAGCCATTAAGAGTATGTACAGGAAGAACACGTGGCTCACATAAGAGAAAAAAACCCGAATCAGTCACGAAGGACACGAGCAACATGGGCGCTACTCATTGTAACATATGTAACATGCAGCGTCTGTGACATGCTGACCTATAAGTCATCGGATCAACAACTTTCACTTCACAAGGGAACTGAGGGAGGGCATTAAGCGACGACCTCGCCTTACAGATACCTCCGGCTGTTTCTGGACCAGTTCCGTGTACCGGTCCTTGTCAATCGTCTTCTCCAGTCTGCTGTAGACCATCTTGGCCTGCTGACCACGCATGAGCATCATGCGGTCTCTCTCGGATAGAGTAGTGATGTCAACGGGCATGGTCATGATCGGCCGTGGCTCTCTGTTGCGCAGCGTGTAACTGGAGCCATCCGGATTCACCACCAAGACACGGTACTTGCGGCGCTCAATCTACAATGATTTTGTAGCAGACACACACACACACACGCGCGCTCGCGCATGCACATACACACACACGCACATAGCCACACCCACCCACACTCAAATGCATGTACATGCAAGCGCACACGCACGCACGCACGCACACACACACACACACACACACACACACACACACACACACACACACACACACACACACACACACACACACACACAATCTATTATGTCCCAGTGAATGCCATCACAGACAGGTTTTCTAAACCAGAAGCTCAGAGAACTCAATACAGCTCAAGTAGTTTTGGGGGAGTTCTACAAATTCGTATAGATCTGTATGATTTAACTCCAAACCCTCGAGGCTCCGCAAGCTCCATACATTCACTATGAAAGAGGAACAAAAATCAAATTTGTGGAGAGGGCCTCTTCTCTGCAAATAGTGATTGCCACGCATTTGACATTACTGATATGCTGTAGCATAAGGAATGTGCAATGGGTGTCTGTTTCCCCCCACATGTAACCAAAATGATAGGTGCACATGACCCATTGTCCTCAAAACTCTCACAGTTCTTGGCAGAGGGCACATAATTATATTCAATTCAAGCTTCCCCTATGCAACTCCACGAAACAAACTCCAAGACGGATGAAATAGTGAATGCCTCTACTCCCCCCCCCCCCCCCCCCCTCTCAACACCGAAATTCAACAAAGTGGCCAGAAAACATAGTCGTGATCAACTTACTCTACTCAGAGTAGCCGCGGGGTAGAATGGCTTTTCAGCCTTCTTGCTGTTAAGGTGCTTTTGTTGATCACGAAGACGCTCAATAAGAGACGTCTTTTTCGAGGCGGCAGCGGCAACCGGCGTCGTGCTGGATATACAAGAGGAGAGAAAGGAAAATATACAGATGGTAAGTTGGTAACCTCACTTGAGACAAGCAACACAGGTACCATGCAAGCCTGTGTGCACATGTGTGTGTGTGTGTGTGTGTGTGTGTGTGTGTGTGTGTGTGTGTGTGTGTGTGTGTGTGTGTGTGTGGGGGTATGCGTGAGCGCGCATGTGACTGCATGGAACTGTTCCCCAGGATTGGCGGGATGCCCAACTCGTCCCGATTCCCAAAAGTGGTGACTTGACCAATTGCAACAACTGACGCGGCATTGACCTCCTAGATGTCGCTGGCAAGATTTGTAGCCGCCTCATCCAGGACCGACTCCAACTTGTCGTGGAACAAGAACTTCCGGAATCTCAATGTGGCTTTTTCGCCCTGGTCGCGGCTGTGCTGATGCCATCTTTTCCATTCGCCAGCTCATCGAGAAAGCATATGAGCGCCGGCAGAAGCTGTTTCGTGTCTTTTTTGACTTAAAGAAGGCGTACAATTCCGTGCCACGCCAAGCACTCTGGTTAGCGTTAGGGAAGCTAGGCATTCCTGAAGTGCTCCTCAATGTCCTCCAATCGTTTCACGAGAGCATGCAGGCAGCTGTGCGCGTCGGTGCCAACACCACCGAGTCGTTTGACGTCAACAATGGCCTCCGTCAGGGCTGTGTGATGGCCCCAGGACTTTTCAATCTGTACTTCAGTGTTGTACTTGAGTGGTGGGCGCAAGTGATGCAGGCCAGCGACCATCCACCTGGTATCCCTATCCAATATAGCATCAATGGCAACCTGTTCTCTAAGCCTGCTCGTCAGTTTACTGCCGCAACCATCAATGACATTGAGTACGCACATGACGCTGTCTTACTCGCTGAAGACCGCTCTGGTGCTGAAAAGTGACGTGAAGCATTTTGCACAGTTGCCTCTGCCTTTGGCCTCTGTGTCAACGCTGCAAAAACCAAATTTCAAGTGGCAGGTAGCCAAGTCGACATGTCTGACAAAGCTGATATGCTCGTCAATATACTGTGGAGCATGTTCCACCCTTCGTTTATCTGGGTCCGTCATGCCACCGGATGCCCGCTCCTCCACCGGCGTCAGTTGCCGCATATCTGTGGCTTCGGTTGTCAGTAAACGAAAGCCATATGTGGCCTGTGTCTTGTCCCTGATAGCAGACGTCTGGATGCCTTCCATCATCGCTGGTTCCGTACAATACTAGCCCCCCCTCCCACACACACACACACCTCTGCAGTCAGCAGCAATTCGAGCGCATCATGTCTGCGCAGTTATGCCGTCACGGGGTGACCCAGTGCCACTCTCTGTTAAGATGCACCATGGCGGTTTAGAGTGGCTTGGTCATGCAGCTCGGATATATCTCATTGCAGCTTTGGTTTGGTCGTTTGTTGGTTGCGCGCCCCTTCTGCGATCCCAGGCGCAGGTGGAGAGACATTGTGGCTACAGACACGAAGTCCATTCCAGACTAGTTTGAATGTGCCCAAGATCGATCAGCTTGGCGAGAGCAAGTTCTGGTTTTTCAGTCTCATCGGGCTATAGTGAAATCCGTACTCTGCTCGACGTGCAACCGGGCTTTTTCTCGTCCTAAAGACAAGGTATGGCACAAGTGCTTAGCTGAGCGCCAACTTCCCGTCCACCAACAGCCTGGTTCAGCACAGCGTCTCAGTTGCTGCCGATGGTTTCGAAGTAAGGGTGAGCTTGCAGTTCATCGTTGCTAGCCAGCACTCCCTAAACATGCAGATTCAGCACTGCCGGTGTCTCGCTAGTTGCTACTTTCTACATTGTCAATGCTGCAATCGCTGCTTCAAGTCCCGGGCCGGTTTTAACCGCCATAACTGCAACCGTGGAAAACGTCGTGCTGCAGCCGAGAGGGAATCGCTACGGCCAAGAGTACATAACCAAGAGTGTGCAACTCCATCTTGAGCTGCGATGGGTTCAACTACGGTAAACAATTTTATTGCATCATTCTTTGGCAGAAGTATGATGAAGTGCGTATGCTTTCCAATGCTTGTTTTGTAGATACGGTGAGAGTTCATCAGATTCACGACACGTCGATCTACCGTAGCTGTAATGTACAACTTATTTGTACTTTGATCTCTGGCTACGCATGATGGCATGAGTGAGCCAAACCGCCGCCAAAGACTGATACCATAAAAAAATTCCGCCGTGGGCTGGGGGATCGTCGAGCTGCACACTTTTGGTTATGTACTCTTGCTACCGCTGATCTGCCTGCATTGCCCAAAGCGTTCACGGTATCCGGATTTTTCCCGCAATACAGAAAAATTCCTCAACACGTGTTCACCCGTGTTTAGACTATAGCAAGCTGAATGCCCTGATTCTGAGCAACCCTGGGTACGATTCTTCTGCTTGTGGCGAGAAGATTCATTCTTGGCGCAGTCGCACAAAGGACTCCAAGCTCTTTGAACTGCGCTAAGCGTATCTGCAAGTGCATGTCGATGTGTCCCTACAGCGTTTGAGCCCTCTATTGTATGTATGTGAGACACATGTATGTATTTCAGTATAAAACTGTATGTATGTCAGACTAATAATATGTATAATTATCAGTATAACTATCGGTTATTCTAAGGCTAGAGTAGTTGTTCTGTGCCCTGGTGTGCATGCAGGAGGGAATCTTTTACATTACTGTCAATTTGGAAGAGACAATGATTGAACAAATGATAAAGTAAGCTAAGGTGTAGCCGTCATCCCAGCAGAGATCCTTCAGCATTTTCTTCAGACTTCGAAACTCATGCTTTCTATGAAACGACACATGGTGGGACGCAGCCCTCACTGTATCCACACACTTCACGTACAAACTAGTGCGCGGGAGCCCTAGTGCCTTAAATACTCATTCGTTTGAGTTGAAAAGGGAATACTGCCTTCGATAAAAACTAATAACTATGGAATAGATTTCAGATACAGACACATTTTCAACAAGTTCAGTTATTACCTGAAGGTCCTGCAGCAGACGAGTCCACCTATGCACACTCTGGAGGGCAGCATGGCGGCAGGTCGCCACGCCAAATGCGAGACTGAACACTAACAACAAAGCTCTAGCTAATTACTTTCTTCGTCGTGAAATACTGTCAAACCATCTTCTTTCACATTTTGCAATTACAGTACTAGTATTTGGAGCATCTGGCACATAAGGGAAATTCCCCAAGAAATAAAAATGGCGTTGCACGTTTTTTTGTACTATCCTTGGCAAAAATCAAACGAATCATGAATGCTTGCGTCTTTTCGTTGTGATGTTTGTTGATTTTATTTCAGCAACTACGAAATGTGTTTGGTGGTACTAGATCTATTTTAGAGAATGCCTAAGAGAAAAAGGCGTCATGCCGGGGCACCTGTCGCTCAGCAACTTCCTCCCGTTGAAGCCGGTATTGCCTTCAGACTTGAAGAAACCAACCGTCCTGCCAAGCGTATGAAGAAAACAGATGAACGTGAATCTTCTCTGGTGTGGACGAATCTTGGAGTGCCCGAGTCAATTGTGAAGTCACTGTTGGAGCTAGGATATCACACACCAACCACCATTCAGCGTGAAGTTCTGCCCAAAGCTATTGAAGGCAGATGCGATGTCCTTGGTGTGTCGGAGACTGGTAGTGGCAAGACGCTGGCATATGGCCTTCCTGTGTTGAGGCACATACTTACCGACTTGGAGAGGAAACTAGCTGAGGAGGATGAGTCAGACCTTGATGAAGCGGAGCAGGATGAGGGTAGTGAGTTGGAAAAGGACAGTGATAACCTGGAGGATGTAGAGGAGGATGTAGATGAGGTCGAGGGTGACAGTGAAGATCTCAGTGGTGAAGACATTGATACGCTTGATATGGACGAGTTTGAGGAACAGGAAGAAGACGGAGCCGGCAAGGTCTGTGATTTGACTGCAGCTGTGGAGGCCCTCGAGGCGGTGAAAGCTGAGGAGATGAAACTGCCCGCTGCAGCTGGTCACGGGGTTCACACGTTGGTCCTGACGCCGACTCGCGAGCTGGCCATGCAGGTTCTTGGTCACTTGCAAGCTGCGTCTAAGTACACTGATATTGTGTCCGTCGCCTTGGTCGGTGGCCTGTCGGCACAGAAGCAGAAGCGCCTGCTACAGCAGCGCCGGCCACATTTGATTGTAGCAACGCCTGGCCGATTGTGGGCATTGCTGAATAGCTCTGAGAGCGATCATCTGAGCACCATGCGCAAGACGCTGCGTTGCCTGGTGATCGATGAGGCCGACCGCATGGTGGAGCAAGGCCACTTTGCCGAAGTGGAGTTGATCATGAGTGCATTGCCAAAGAGCGTTGCTGTGCGTGGTTCTGAGAAGCCCAAGCTGCGGCAGTCTCTTGTGTTCTCAGCAACACTAACCTTGCCGAAAAATGCCAAGGTTTCAGCGAATGAGACGCTAGAAAAGCTTGCGAGCAAGGCATGCGTTCGAAGCAAGCCCAAAATTGTGGACGTAACGGGCTGCAACAAAAAAGTAGAGACGCTAACTGAGGCGCGGCTCATGTGCGGAAGTAACGAGAGCAAAGATCTCTACCTGTACCATTTTTTAACAGAATACCCCGGCCGCACCATCATCTTTTGCAACTCTATCGATTGCGTGCATCGCCTGTGTGGATTGCTGACTCTACTGCGCGTACAGCCGCTTCGTCTCCATGCCGGAATGCAGCAGAGGCAGCGGCTCAAGACCTTGGACAGGTTTACCAGCGCAAAGTCGGCTGTCATGGTGGCGTCCGATGTTGCCGCTCGCGGACTGGACATCAAGAATGTCCACCACATCATTCATTATCAGGTAAGCCATAGCGTGGCAAGTGGTCTAGTGGCGTGCACTAGCCTATGCACGTAACTGGACGTTTCAGATCTAATTTTGTTTATCATCAAGCTTTAAACGGTCTCTTTACTAGATTTCACCAAAAAAGCAAAGAAAAAAAAAGCAACCAATATTAATTTTCAGTCTAGGGCCGACATCATCAAGATTGATAAGAAAGTTCTGAACGAAAAATGAGGTGGACTAGTATATAGCATTGCCCGCAAAGGCTACATCACGTGAGAACACTACACTTAGGGTAGGAGAAACAAGGCACGTGCACATGTACAGTACGTACAATGTTGCACTAAGGGAAACATCGTAGCCGATGCGATGGGACTGATGTGTAAAGAGGAGGCGATACCAAACGCATCACCTGCTGGTACTAGACGGTTTCGCGTTGTGTCTCCACTTGGCTGCTCATTTCTGTACCATGAATGCACACTAGCCTAGGGAGGAGCTAACCACTTGCTCTCTCTCTCTCTTTCTCTCTCTCTCTCTCTCATTCTCTCTCTCTCTTTCTCTCTCACTCTCTCTCTCTTTCTCTCTCTCTCTCTCTCACTCACTCTCTCACACACACATACACGCACGTGCACACACACACACACACACACACACACACACACACACACACACACACACACACACACACACACACACACACACACACACTCTCTCTCTCTCTCTCTCAGAAAATATCAGATATTTCTATTAAACTGATAACGTGCAGGTTTGTCAAGCTTCACAAAGGGACGTGGATGTTCCTTTTCTCTTCATGGTCTCCTGTGCATGTCGCCAAGGGATATCTCTTGTCTGTGAGCTCCAGTGAGATGATGCTAATGGAACCTTTCTGTTTCTATGCTGTCTGGTGTGCCTTTTGTACAGGTTCCACGCCACCCGGAGACATACGTGCACCGCAGTGGTCGCACAGCGCGTGCCAACCGCGAGGGACTGAGTGTTGTGCTCGTGTCACCGGAGGACCTGTCCCTGTACCGCCGCATCATCAAGGAGCTCAACGACGGGAAGGAGCTGACGGAATTCCCGATGCGTCTCGTCGACCTCACGAACCCCCGGCGACGGGTGACTGCGGCTCGACTTCTCGACAAAGAGCAGCACAAGCAGAAGATGTCGAAACACAGCAGCGACTGGTTCGAACGGCAAGCAGACGCACTGGACATCGTCCTGGATGAGGATATCCGTGGCTTTGCTGATGCTGAGAAGGATAAGTTCTCGAGCAATGCTCATCAGAAAAAGATGAAGCGTCTGCAGACGGATCTCGATGCCGCTTTCGCCCGTTAACGACAACTAAGTGTGGTCACCCGAGTGTGTGGGTGAGTTTCATGCTGTTGCATTGTAACATATTTTTATAGCTTCCTGCAGAAACTGGCAATGACTTTCCCTGTAAATACGAGTAAATGGCGCCTCCTGTCTATAACATATTGGTACCCTGATGTTGTGAACATCCAGGACTCATGTACATGTAAGCACATCTTGCCACATATTTAAATGCGGTAACGTTGTTCCAGAGTCCACAATATTTTGGCTTTTGTTTTCGCTTTTCAAAGCCTTGTGTCAAGCAAGCTGTGGAAAGAAGAGCAAAGGCCTTTCTAGCGCCAGGGAAATGTGGAAAACACGATCTATGTAGATATTATGATGTAGATATGTAGATATTAACATTATGAGATGTGCAGCCTTTCTTGACTGTTTGCATCAATACAGTTGTAAGCCACGCACAAGTCCATACTTCTGCCGTGATGCAGAGAGTGTACATTTTTTGCTGTAAAATAACGCAAATCATAATCCAGTATTTGTATTGTGGCGGTGTAGCCACTGTGAGTATGGCATACACATGATGGTGTAGTGCGAATGTAGGCAGAATTGGAGAATTAAAGGTATTGAAGGAATGTTGCTGAGAGACATCAGAACCTATGAACCTCAGACGTGTTTAAGTGTATAATGACAGCTATGTATATCGATATGTCAATTGGGAGGGGTGTGAAAGTGTGTGCGCCTTGACCCGTCCATGTACTAGTATTCCAACAATTGTGATGTGCGTGCAAGTTGGGTTGAAAATTGAAATCAACCTCTCGCGTACATGTACCGGTATGCTCTGGCAAGCTAACAATGATGGCATCAATTGAGCATTTGACTGGGCTGGCCAGTCTGGCTGGCTGGTGAGGTGCACATGTGTGCGCATCACTGCTGACGGTTCCTTGGTTTAGCAGGCGGCGATGTGTAATCGTTTTCCACTGCCGGTATTGAAAGCGGTGTGAAATCACTGCCAGTGTTTGCAGTTACCATGACGCTGCCATTGACCATGTGCTCCATCTTGCTGCTGCTGCCGAAAGAAACTTGCGGTGTTGAACGGCTTTGGGCTCCAGCAAAGGAGGAAAGTAGTGATGGCACTGCTGCTCTGTTTGATGCTCTGGTAGTGGACATGTTTGATTCGGACAGCGGGTCAATAGAGGTCGACAACATGTAGTTGGTAGAGATACTTCGAAGTTGTTGTTGTGCGCTGGTGGCCAGAGTCATCGCTGTCTGTCGTTGATTTTTCGTCTCGACCGAGCTGGTAGTTTTGCTGAGAAACTGACTGTCCGGTTCATTTGACGGTCTCCACAGGTAGTAGAGGCGGCGGATAAACAGCGATCCAAAGATGATGTGACATTGTGAAAGTATAATGGCTGCCAGAATGACGGACTGACTGACTTGTTGTGAGAAGTAGTAGGCAGGTATCAGAATTATCCAGCAGGCTAGAATCAGTGCACTGGCCAGAAAGTAGAATGGTGCTTCGTTGAAGAAACCGGGCAATTGACGAGTCGAAAATGCCAGTACCAATGTGACTATGATCAGTGCAGATGTCCAGGTAAAGTAGCCGCCTATCCATGTGTCGTTGAACTTGCAGACAAGTCGCAGTGTTGTGTGCGTGTAGATGATCTCTGCATGTGGTGGTGAGGCTACCACCCAGAGTATGAAATAGGCGGCAGTGGTGATGGCAAGCAGAACCAATAGGAAGATTTGCGCCTTGTTACTCAGGAACTTGATTTTCCTCTTGGACAGGTGACTTGTTCGCTGGAAGACCAGTCGAAGGCGATTGGTCTTGATGGCCAGGCTGACGACATTGACAACAGGCCATATGAAGACCAGCACCTTGAGTGTGCAAGCTGTGTTGCTGGGCTTGAGAAGCAGTATGTTGACGAAGGCGAAACTGATCATAAGAGTTACGAGCTGTGCTGTGGTGAGCGTAATGTCCGCAGCCTTCACAACCAAGTGAGTTCTCTTGCTTCGGAAGAGCACCAGTGTGACGACTGCTGCAAGAACACCGACCATGCTGAACATAAAGATGAGGATAGGGCTGATGTGGTGAAAGCGTGGATACTCTAGTGGGTACAGAATGCAATGCGATTGCTCTCTGTTGGTGTAGTGACCTTTAGGACAGAGCTGACATTGATCAGTATTACCGTCACTGACTGCGTCAACGGGACAGGGTTTGCAGTCAAAGCAACACTGGCGGTAGCCATCATGATGTAGTCGACGATTGCCTGCTGAACATTGCCCTGGGCATGTTGAGCTGGTAGTAGTTATTTTCCCGATGCCATTATCACCGTTACCATCATCGTTGTCTTTACTGAGCACTGATTTCAAGTCTAGAGTTTCCATTCTCCATGCCAATCTGTTACCCCTTGCATTGGTGCTACTGCTGCGTGCAAGGACTTTGATGTGCATGCAGCTTGATGGATCGGACAACTGCTCAGTGTACATCTGTGATAGCTTTTCACGTATTTGTTCTGCAGTGAGAAAGGTACTCTCCAGTGTGTACCTTGCATAGTCGTTATCAGAGTCGTTGTAGAATCCCCGGACTGCTTTACAGATGTACGGTTGCATGCTATATTCCTCCGCAGTGCACCGGTCATGAGCTTCCTGTAAGAGTTGGTTTGTGACATTGACCACTGTGAAGATAGTACCCATGATCTGTAGAGAACGCTGAACAAGGAATTTCTTTGCTTGAGCTCGGTGTGTGGTGTCGCATGGGCGCCGTGAACTTGCGTTTGAGTTCATTGTTGGACTCAGTACTTTCACGTTGCGCCCAAATTGACATTCTCCAGGTGATAAGCAGGTCAAGCGACAATCGAATATGTTCTCCCAGACTGCTGCTAGCCATGGGTCTTGCTTTAGTTGCAACTTCGACAGTTTCAAATTGTTGAGGTTTTCCCATAGAGTTTCTTCGATGCATTCCCAGGATGGATGTGTTGAAGGCAGTGGAGCCAGCAGCCTTGGCTCCAATTTCACTGCCACCGGATGCTCAGCATCACTGCTCAGCCAGTCGTCATAGGCTGCAACGGAGTTCTCTGCAACGTACTTCCAGTCTTGGAAACCCACCCAGTTCCAATGGAGAATAGTTTTCCTGGGTGCCTTGTGTTCTTGTTCTTCCACCACCGATTTGCTATTCAGAACATTCCATATGTGCACAGTCACATCTTCATTTGCTAGAACGATGACAGTTGTTAGTGTGTTCGTACGCTTAAGTTGTTGAAAGAATTTCATGATTGACTTGCTGTTGTCTTGTGAGTGTGGATCGATGTAGTCGTCTACGGCTATACAGACATTATAGGTGCCAGCGTTGGACTCAAGGATCGACTTCAGTTTCTGATTGTGATTATCTTGTGACACAAGCACAGCTATGTGCGTCCAGTTCTGTTTGGTACATACATCCAACAGAGTTCTGACCTGCAGTTCGTAGATAGGTGTGATGCTAAACGAATAGTTGCTCTGTGGCTCATCTGAGTGATAGCGTGGCGTTGGAGTGATGTGAATGAGAGTCTGTGGCTCTTTCAGGATGAGAGAAGAGATGGTTGCTTGCGCCGCGGTGTGCGTTATTGGACCAACGATTAATGCTGGCGTGAGTGGCTGCTGCCAGTATTCCCGCTTAACTACTTGCTCCTTAGCACACTTGGGTTTTTGCTTGCAGGTGTCATTTTGTTGAATGGGCACACTGGGATGTGTTGTGTTTCCTGGGTCTTCACTGCCACTATTATCTTCTAAGCTGACGTCTTCCGGACTTTCAGGCTGCATTGTTTTTTGTGGAGGGTGATAGGCAGAGCCATTGTCTCCTTGTCCTGACTGTCCACTTTCGCTGTCATTTTGTTGTTGTGTGTTCGTTGCTGGTTTTACAGGTGTGCAGCCGGCCATTTCATTCTTTTCTTCAAGTACTCCAGACTCGGCTCTCTCAGACTCTCTACAGGTACACTTCTTCTTGTAGTTGTAGTACTTGTTGATATGTTGGTCAGTAACATACCAATGCTCATCCAGATAGTGCATCGCAACCGGTACCCCAGCACATGTGTCAATCAGTTTGTACTCAAATGACTTGTCGAGGGAAGGGACGCAGTTGGCCATCTCGAACGCCAGAGCCACTGCCTCAGCCATCGGCACTGCCTCATGTACATCCACATCTTCACATGTGTTCCTTGATGATGGTGACACATGCTTGTGCATTGGCAAAAAGATGGTTAGTTGCAGATCAGCTTGCTTGGAGTCCACTGTCAGCACATCTCCAAGTAGAACATTGGGACGTCTGGCCGGTGTGAATTTTCCTTCTGCTTGTTTCGTGAATAAAACAACAAGTATGCTGCAGGCAAGAAGAATGGCCGAGGGTTTCCATGTCCGGCCAGCACAGATATAAACCCGGTTGAAAGCCACTGGTATTGAAGGGTGGCATGTGCCTGGGCTGCCATTATGTCTGCACCACATTTCACAAGGCTCGAACACTGCTCACGCCTCGGGCTGATATAGAGGTTGCGCCCAGCTTGGGGAGAGTTTTACCTACCGTTCTACACTCTGCTCCAGGCAATTCACTCACTCAGACATACACGCCAAGCAGCTACTTTGTTTTTAATAGACCTGCTAGAAGAAGTGGATTTTCTGTGTCTTTGTCAACAACAGCCCCAATGAATGCTGTTTGGCCACTAGCTCAGACCACCTAACCTCTCGAACGTGCACAGATATTCTGACGTGAGCAGCTCATAGTTATGACCGCTAGTGCTGCTCTCAGTCCGGGTCTCACACGTACTGTGGTCAAGTAATGCTGTGTGCTGCTGTGTGGTACCACATGATTTTAGTGCAGTCAGTTGGCATATGCAGTATGCTAACATGGTGGTGGTACTAACTTCGTATTGCCTGTGTGCATGTAGCACTGGGTCCACCATGATCTATGGCAGTCGACTCGCGGATGCGCTGTTTTAGATTTGGCGTATACTTGTGTATACTTGTTCCTCAGTACCGTGTCGTTGTCCTCCTAAGTAACACTTGGTTGCCAGAAGGTTCAGCATGATCACCTTTTTTATTGTGTGATCCAGTAATTCACTGGCATGCACGTTTAGCACACAAGAGCAGTGCAGCATTGCACCACGAACAGAGTAACCAATGTGTGCTGTGGTTGAGACATACAATCTGTTTTGATGGTCCCATCTCCACATCTCTCACACCCTTGCTCCACATCAAGAATCACTGATTCAGCTGCCTCTGCTACTGGTAATGATTGTCGTGCAGCATAGAGATGGAGTGTAGATGGCGTACTACAAGAGTATTACTAGTACTACACTTTGGATGCATCGTGCGGATCCATTCTTGGGGCATGCTTTTCTTTTCATAGTTCCTAGCACGGGATCTGTGGTAACTAAAGTGCTATTGCTGCCACATGCAATCTTCCTGTCCATTCATCAAGTTGTCCATTCTTTGCTGTGACAGAAGCCGGTCTGATGTGGTGCTGAGCATGCATATGTTCAAGAAACTTTTCACAGTTTGTACTTCAGTAGTTTTCAATGACAATGCTCAGTCAGTGAACTTGCTTGGCCTTGGACAATCACTCCTGCTGTCTTCTTTATCCTTATGTTCATGAGTTCACTACAGACTACAGTACGGATTAGGATAGAGCGAGCCCCGAAAAGCGCCCCAGTTCTTCAAGCCCAAAGCTTGCTAGCTCTGACCTGTATCAGACCCACTCAAAGTCTCGTGGATATGACCTGGACCAACAACGTCAACACTCAGTTCACACGTATATTGTGGCCGATGTATCAGATAACGTGTGAAGTTTTGGAATCATCCAGCACTCTAGAGATCAAGTGGGCGTTCGATTTTCATCTACAGGTTTAGATAGATTTGTTCATTTTCTCTACACCAAACGGTAGATTCTACTTTCCTCTACTGGCTCCACTGGGTTTGAGGGTGATACCAAGAGTATAATAATATTATACTCTTGGTGATGCTTTGTAGAAGTCAGTAGATGTTGGTAGAGGTGACCTTGTATCGATTCTGTACATGTGTGACTATGAGTGGATGCTGGTCACACTGTGACTGGTGTATTGAAATGCTGTGCGATCAAATCTATGAGTGAATGCTGGTCACACTGGTGTGTTGAAATGCTGTGCGATCAAATCTATGAGTGAATGCTGGTCACACTGGTGTGTTGAAATGCTGTGCGATCAAATCGACAGGGTGGTAAAGATCTCCATGTAGACTGAGCCTGTTCAGTCGCACAAAGACTTGCAACTCACCAGCCTGTGGCATCTGCCGCAACTAGCGTTACTACACCATACTGCTAGCGAACGGTACATACAAGTACGCCGTGATTTACAAGCTAAGCTGCTGATTACTAGTACCCGGAAGTAGCAGGGTTCTCGCCAAAGCGACATAGGGGGTGGGGGTGCTACAGCCTTCTTCACGAGTTTTTGACCGTTCTCTTTGAAAATGAACACGCCACCCTGCAGAGTGCGAGCGCCATCTTTTTTTTTAATACATGTAAGCATGATGAGTACATATCATGTAGTAGCAGAGCATTGTACATGTACGAGTCATTGCATCCTATAATCATCACTTTATACCTCTGAAAACCATACTTATACGCATAAATTCCGAAATTTTGGAATGTTACGCATCGGAGCTTCAAGCTTCGATAATAACAGTGTATTGCCTATGATGTCATAAATATCCAACCGGCCGGAACTTCACAGCATGGAAAAATAAAATCACGCAACCACATCACTCGTACAGGTGCCTTTTTTAGTGAAGCGAGACTGCAGATGTGACAGGAAATGAATCATTCCCAAAGTATCCACCAACACGTAATGGCAGGGCGGGTGGGACACTGTTATATCTCGCTCTCAGCTCCTAGCACAACTCCCACTTCCCGTCACAATGTACCATTGCTAGCGAAATGGGAAATTGGGTCAACCTGGTACGCGTATATGGTCAACACCTACAGTACATGCTGTGATAATCATTTATTTGCAGCATACAGCCTATGCCCAGGCCTCACCACCACTGCCGTTTCCGTGCTGCCTTTTCGATACATACGTATGTACACTGTATATCATGTGCACATTCACATGTCTGAAGGTTTGTGGTTTTTCAATAAAAAAAATAAAAAAAATAAAAAAAATGGCACACTACCCGAGGCTGCTGTGCACCTGGTTAGGGTTAGTGGCTAGGCTAGCCATGACATTCCGCTTCGTCAGTGCTTCAACTGCTGTCGTTATTCAACCACTGAGTTCAATATTAGTTTATGAAGTTACCAGTGGTTACTGTGAACGCATTGTGGATCTACATTTTAGAGGGGTGCGTTCGAATTGCCTTCTTCAACTTTTCGAACAAATTCTCGTCCGATCCGATCGACCATCCCCGCGGGAATATTCCAAACTCTTCAGAACTAATCCACCTCTCCCATCGGATGACGTGACGTTGTGGAGTTTCGAGGAGACTTTCGTTTTTTGAAGAGGCCAATAAGCTACCTCTTCAGAAATGCAAAACTCCTCGAAAAGTCAAAGAGTGGCAATTCGAACGCGCCCTAAAATGTGTGGCTCAAGACAAGACTGGGACTACCGGTTTACATACCAAGGTCGTTCCTTTTTGTGCTTCAAGACAACTCAATCTCACACGTTTTGTTGAAAGTCATAAAATCATTTTCCATCACCTAAGTCCTTGGCCTGGATTCACTGCATGCCCGACTCGACTGTAAGCTGTACTTGTACATTGTACAATGTAGATCTACTCACTTCATTTCCTTGCCAAGGGAAGGGCCTTGGCGGCATGCCAGATAACTAACTACAGTTGTCCCTCTATAATCCGGCACCATTTGTGCCGCGAAAATCTGCTGGATTAGGGAGGGTGCTGGATTAACAAAATTTGATTTACTGCTGCAATGTGCATGAAGAGGACATTTTGGCTACTGAAAATTGTGCTGGTTTATCGAGGGTGCTGGATTAGAGAGGGACGACTGTACTAGTACTAACTACTGTTACTTATACTTATAGCGGCTTGATCTAGCATGATGATGCAGATCCGGTAGATCTTCGTACCGACTGTAGATCTACTCCAGACTTCAGTGATCAGAGATGAAGAACGGATGTTTCTAGCAACAGGTTGAACCGTTCCGAGTTCAGGCAAAGCGGGCACGGAGAAGCAGATGGTGGTGTGAAGCTCCGGATTGCAAGGTCTTGAACTTCGGGTTCAGTGTTGACTCATCACTCAGCAACTGGTCTGGAGAGCTAGAGTGGAGTGGTGAGGCCTGTTTTCACAGGACGAGGCCACGAGCTGCCTGCAGGAAGCCTATGCCATCATGAATGCTAGCAGCGCTTGCTGTGGTCCAACAGTACAGATAGCCACGGGCGGCAGTAACCAACACCGACCGTCCACCATGGTCCACCATGGTCCACGAGTTCCTCGCGAAGTGCCGGAAGGAAAACGCAAAGTGCAAGACGGTCGCATGCGATGTTGCTGCTAGGCGCTGCTTTGCAACACCACCATTACATCGCGTATCGGCGCCAGCGGGCAGCCAGTGAGTAACTATGCTGCCTAGCGCCTATTGACTGATCAGTCTTCGTACTGACACCCCTTTCGTTAGAACTACACCTAAATAATAATTACTAACATACATTTCTTGTTTGTTATCAGAATGGAGGACAGGAAGCTCTTACCGTTATGCCACCACATGATCAAACTTCAGCTCAGAAGTCCGTAGCGAGGTGAGGGTTGACGAGTTACGTTACGTTGTGTGCAGTTATCAACCTCTTCCCCGAAATCGAGACCTTTGACTGGAAGACCCCTCAGTATGGTCAGAGGAAACGTTCCCACGCCTTTTAAATATTACAATAAAGCAGTACCTTTCTTGGAGACAGGACTTATCAGGGAAAGAAAAACTACAAATCTCAAGCTATTCTTCACCATCATCGATAAGGACTCCGAAATTCATGAACCAGTTTTCGGGCATTCTCTTCAAATGAAATAAAAGCAATCAGAACCAATGACACATAGGGATAAGTAGCATCACAAGGGTGGTACCCATTACAACTAGGTGATAAATTTAGTGAAGAATTTATGCATAAGGGGAGATAAGAAAAAAAACTGAAAACTGGTTCATGAATTTCGGATGATGATGATGATGATGGTGAAGAATAGCTTGAGATTTGTAGTTTTTCTTTCCCTGAGAAAGTAGTACAGTGCTGTATTCTGTGACTATGTCAAGCACAGCCCTACACCTCTGAATTATTGTTAACGTCGAATTATCAGCAGAAATCCCTCACGTTTTCTGTCGCGCAACTGAGAAGAGTAGCCAGAAGACCACGTGGATAAAAAATGCATGATCCCATACCATGATCCCATACCATGCACATACTTACAGTAAGTTACACTGTAGAAGGAATGTGCAAAGGTGCAACTCGTTAGTTATCAGTGCCTGTCGGTTGACTATTCAGTATTGTCGCCGCACTACATTGCATGCTTGCTAGGTTTCTGCACACTTACACCTTGTGTCATTCTTTCTATGAGCGGCATGGAAAAGAAAGAAAAATAAAGATTCGCGGTTCTCGTGAGACTCGGCTGGAGACCAAATTTTCCACATCCGCTGGGACGCCACCACCCTCAAAGATCAAGGCGCAGATGCAGCTCCTAAAGCGGTGGGAGGTGAGTAGATCAGACCCACCACCAAAGTGGTCAAAGACCGAAAATCCCATTTGCTGCATCCATGCTTCCCTCGTGCCAGGCCACGAGTTCCCAATTAACTGTGGGTCGCAGCACGGCTGGAAAAAAATCCTTCCGCTTCCAAGCAGGACTTGAACCTGGTACCCTCTGTTTCTGAATCATGGTCTTGGACCAGCCCACTATGCCTGCCTGCGGGGCAGCATGAGGTGACGCATTTTACCGTTGTTGTTTTTTGGCTACTCTTCTTCGCGCTATTCTATTACCTCTCTGCGGCTGTATTTAATTCTTTGTTCTTGTTCCTTTGATTTTTCTTGTATTCCACCTGATGGGAAGGCATGAAAGTCTACTCGTGGAAACCGTTTGAAAATGTTGCATGTGCAGAAGCTGTAAAGTTTGAGCTGTAGTCGGGATGGTACAGTGCTGCTCAACACAGCCGGGTGTGAGTCATGTAATGCCGGGTGCTGTGCAGCCCAGGGAGCCCTACACATATGTGTGCATGTGTAGGGCTCCCTGATGTAGCCTCAGGCCTGCCAACACGAGGCCGTGCACCGTGGAGGGAGTCCTCTCCCCCCCCCCACCCCTCCGTGCTGTGCACACGTGCAGGCCGTGCCGGTAGACTGATTTATTTATGCGGCCATACTGTGCAGAGTCTGGCTGTAGATCTACCAATGACATCATTCTACTGTGTCTGTTGTCTGGCCTTCCACATTATGCAGGCACCACTACGCAAATTCGTTTTTGAAGCAGGCTGCGTTTGATGTTAACACCAAGAGGAAGCATTGGACACCGATTTTGATGAGGACTGATGTATACGACCTTGCCGATGCTGAGCTGGAGAAGGTCACTAGCAATGTGCATCAGAGTCTGGAAAAAGGCCCCTGAACCGAAGTTCCCTACCGGTGCTGATTTGGATGCCCCGTTTGCCCGTTGATGAGCCAGAGGTCACCTGAGTGTGTAGGTAAGTGTCATGCCACTGCTGTTATGTCACAGTGTCCATACGCCATGGTAGATCATGCGTCTGGATACCTCGTAATCATGCGACCCTGGCAGTACGTAATAAATCATAACTCAGCTGCTGTGTATTTGACATTGTATGGGAGTGCCGCAATAGAAGCAAGGGTTCAGTCTCCTAGCAGCAACTTCCAGCTAGCCCAAGAGTTATAGCATTTACAGTTCTAAACACAGAATATGTGCAGTGTAGATTTTAGATATACTGTGACCAGTATTCAAGGTTTTTCTGCAGTAAAATATTCTCTGTGTGTGTGGGGGGGGGGGGGGGGGGCGGGGGAGGCAACTGATACCAAACAGAGATATACTGTAATTTCACAAATTTTCGGTATACTTTTATTTTCGGTACTTTCGGTGCGTCTGTTTCATACCTAAAATTTCAATACACCGAACAAACACTAACACACATAATCCAATAGGGAACTGCTTCTCTGTACCGAAAATTTCTGTTCACCTAACGTAGCCTGTTGCCCTCATACCGAAAATATTGAGCACCGAAAATTTCTGAAATTAGAGTAAGTGCCTAACGAGAGAGGTACATGACATTGTAGATACGAGAGCATTTGTCTACATATCCACTCTTGAGCCAGGCTATGTCAAGTTCATGGTGAAATCTCTACTGGTGCCTCCGTGTGTCGCTTCATTTCGCAAGGCACTGGCGTTACAGCTACATGTATGAAGTGAGAGGCAGTTGTTATACCTGCAATTCAAACGGTTCATTCTTGTCTCCTTTTGTAGCCAAGAGTAGCGCAAACATCGATTCCTGGGGCGCTCCAGGATCGAAAATAGCGTTCAAGAAACCCACCTTCTGTCGAAATTTGATTCAAGCCCGTGCGAGGCAAAGTGCAAATATTTGATTGGAGACGACTTCTTCCATGTGGCTGACTCCCTTCGCGGATCTCAGTGGTTTTTCTTGCCGCGCCAGCTCATGCGCAGCGATGCTGGCGAACACGTGACAACACTGGAAGTCGTAACAATTGTCTATGCCTATGCTCCAATTCTGTTCTTCAGAACGACGTGCTACTGTCCGACGGCTTTTCATAGGAAACGCTGTTCTTTTCTGTCGAACTTGTTTCAGGACAGCTGCAGCGACTGACAACATCTTCACTAGAAGATAAAGATAAAGTGTAATGACAGATGACTGTCTTTGTGTTGATCCAGTGTTTTGGTGAAGTGAACTGGTCTGTTTGAGGGCCCGGTCACACATGCACTCGAAAGTAGCGGATCCGCTGAAGCGACGTCGCAGGAGCGAAAAATACCATGGCAACGGCGAAAAGCGGAACTTCCGCTTCAGCGGAAACTCCAATCCGCTTCCTCCAAAATTTTCGAAGCGAGACTGTCGCTTCTGAGGTTTCACTTCAGCGGAAAACACCACGGTCTGCTGTATATGGACTTGCTACGAGAAATTTGTATGCGTATGACGTCCATGCAACAACAGTGCGTGCAAGATAGTCATTGACCTCGTCTATTCTCCGTACCGTATGCGCACCACAGTCCACTTTACTCCCATTTTCCGCCAAAGTAGGAGTTTGCCATGTTTTATGTGTGACCATACACACGTGGTTTCGCTGGAGCGACACCAGGCTCGCTGTCGCAGAAACTCAACGCCGAAGCGAACTCCAGTGCATGTGTGACCGGGCTCTAACATGTACATGGCCACGTACCTGTGTTTCGTTGATGCAAATAAAATCTGCAAAAATAATCAGCATGCGATTTCGAGCATTTTGACCGTCATATCAGTGCATGGGGCTGCATTTGGATAATTAGAAGTTCTGGATAATTCGAAGTTGTTGCCTGGCAATTCGAGGTTCGAATTAAAGGGAGTCTACCTGTATGTGAGATGCCTTACAAGGTCCAGACATACTATACAGACCGCGCCATCCAGCAAAGTACGTTCAAGGCGCCTGAAAAAGGTCCATGCACAGTGCCTTGCACAGTCCGGGCCATGACACCTTGGGCAGTGGCAGTCCACATGCCTTCCTAGGTCCGAATGTGAATATGCATGGTGTGGAGTTTTCATTGTATTCCATGCCCCAGTAGGCAGGGCCATAAAGAATGAGTATACATTTTCTTTTTATACTCAATCTCCGGGAAGCTTGGGTGTTTTGACCTTCTCAGTAAGTCAGGTCTCCTCACTCAGTGCTCAGAGTCACTAGTTAAAACCGATAGCAATCGCAAGTCCAGTGAACAAGAAAGCATCTTTAAACCGGCTCAATGCAGCAGTGTCAGAGTGCTCTAACTGCAAGAAACACAGTGGTCTTATTCTTTTGTTTCTTGCATTTTCTCTGTAAGAGAACATCATTATACCAGAACTAAACCAGGAACTAACGTAACCAAAACTGTTTCAAATAATTGGAAAGGAAAAAATAGGCAGACCAGCAACAAAAAAAGACTCTTGTCTTCAGTGTTGCGCATGCTCGTACCGTCGTAATGCACAATTAGATGACAATTTTGGGGAATGTCATCACAAAATACCGTGATTGAATATTGGGTAGTTCAACACGTTAAAAGCACAAGTTCAGGCAAATGCCACGGCCGGCAGAGAGGGTATTTATGCTAAGCACAAATCATACAAATGAACCGGCATGCAGTACTGTGTTGTCACGTTGTACTTGAAACAGCTGTGGCGAGTATGGCATGCTTTTTTAAAGGTGTAGTGCCAATCAAGGGCAGAGTTGGACAATTGAAAGTATAATTAAATTTGTGGATGCCATCTTCAGTAATGGAAAGTATCTGAAGAAGCATGAGAAAAAGAATTTAGCACAGCTCATAGGAGTTCGATACATGTTGTGGTGTATTGTGATTGCCATGTACATAGTTATGCCAATTCGGAGATGTGTGAGCATGGTCCGACCTCGGTCCATCCGTGTGTACAAGGACATGTCACTGTCGATATGTTACTCAAGTCGGTGCGCTTGAAGTGCGTGTTTGTGTGTGTGTGTGTATGTGTGTGTGTGTGTGTGTGTGTGTGTGTGTGTGTGTGTGTGTGTGTGTGTGTGTGTGTGTGTGTGTGTGTGTGTGTGTGTGTGTGTGTGTGGAAGTCAAGTTTTGCTCAATCCGTTACGTACGTGGATGTCCTTGCATGCTATGCTAACATTGGTGCCATTTTGCCCTTTGGCGAGGCTCGCGCAGGTTGTCTGCGGCTGAGATTGGCCAGGCCGGCATACGAGGTTTTCATCACTGCTGACGGTTCCTTGATTTAGTAGGCTGCGATGGGTAATCATTTTCCACCGCAGGGATTGAAAGCGCCAGCGGTGCTAAGTCACTATCAGTGTTTGCGGAAAACGTGCTGTTGCCATTGACCGTTTGCTCCATCTTGTCGCTGCCGAAAGATGCTTGCGATGTCGAGCGGCTTTGAGCTCTAGCAAAGGATGAAAGTGGTGGTGGCGCTGTTGTTGTGTCCGGTGCTTTGGCAGAGGACACGTTCGATTCTGACGGACGGTCAACAGAGGTCGACAGCACGTGGATGGTAGAGATACTGCGTAGTTGCAGTTGTTGTGCGCTGGTGGCAAGAGTCAATGCCGTATGCCGCTGACTTTTGTTCTGAAATGAACTGGTAGATTTGCTGAGCAACTGACTCTCCGGTTCATTTGACGGTCTCCACAGGTAGTAGAGGCGGCGGATAAACAGCGATCCAAAGATGATGTGACATTGGGAAAGTATAATGGCTGCCAGAATGACGGACTGACTGACTTGTTGTGAGAAGTAGTAGGCAGGTATCAGAATTATCCAGCAAGCTAGAATCAAGGCACTGGCCAGAAAGTAGAATGGTGCTTCGTTGAAGAAACCGGGCAAGCGACGAGTCGAAAATGCCAGTACCAAAGTGACTATGATCAGTGCAGATGTCCACGAAAAGTAGCTACCCATCCATGCATCGTTGAACTTGCAGACAAGTCGCCGTGTTGTGTGCGTGTAGATGATCTCAGCATGTGGTGGCGAGGCTACCACCCAGAGTATGAAATAGGCGGCAGTGGTGATGGCAAGCAGAACCAATAGGAAAACTTGCGCCTTGTTACTTAGGAACTTGATTTTCCTCTTGGACAGGTGACTTGTTCGCTGGAAGACCAGTCGAAGGCGATTGGTTTTGATGGCCAAGCTGACGACATTGACAACTGGCCATATGAAGACCAGCACCTTGAGTGTGCAAGCTGTGTTGCTGGGCTTGAGAAGGAGAATGTTGACGAAGGCGAAACTGATCATAAGAGTTACGAGCTGTGCTGTGGTGAGCGTAATGTCCGCAGCCTTCACAACCAAATGAGTTCTCTTGCGTCGGAAGAGCACCAGTGTGACGACTGCTGCAAGAACACCGACCATGCTGAACATAAAGATGAGGATAGGGCTGATGTGGTGAAAGCGTGGATACTCTAGTGGGTACGGAATGCAATGCGATTGCTCTCTGTTGGTGTAGTGACCTTTAGGACAGAGCTGGCATTGATCAGTATTACCGTCACTGACTGTGTCAACAGGACAGGGTTTGCAGTCAAAGCAACACTGGCGGTAGCCATCGTGATGTAGTCGACGATTGCCTGCTGAACATTGCCCTGGGCATGTTGAGCTGATAGTACCAATACTCACGACGTCATTGTCACCGCTACCATCATCGTTGTCTTTACTGAGCCCTGATTTCAAGTCTAGAGTTTCCATTCTCCATGATGTGGCATTGCCACTCTCATTAGCGTTACTGCTGCGTGCAAGGACTTTGACTTGCATGCAGCTTGATGGATCCGACAACTGCTCATTATACATCTGTGATAGCTTTTCACGTATTTGTTCTGCAGTGAGAAATGTACTCTCCAGTGTGTACCTTGCGTAATAACTATCAGTGTCGTTGTAGAATCCCCAGAATGCTTTACAGATATGCGGTTGAGTCTTATATTCCTCCGCAGTGCACCTGTTATGGGCTTCCTGTAGGAGTTGGTTTGTGACATTGACCACTGTGAAGATAGTACC